ATATAGCCATATAATAAACTACTTATAAACTTCGAACATTGTCATATTGACCTCACTATCACCCGGTCAATACGGCTGGGTCTTGGTTTGAGATTTTCCCGTAAAGACCTCACTCTCGCTTAATAAGTAGTTAGTATCGAGATTTGCATGTCTTGCAGTCTTGCAGATCAATTATTTGCCTCGGCCGTCCGCTTCAACACTGACAAATCACGACATTTTGCAACACCTCATCCAACATACGTTAACTAAGCCAATATCTCACAGTCACTTTTAAGCTTCAATTTCTACGATTGAACCTTAACCCCGGGTAAAGAACGCTGTTCTAGACTAAATTGTTTATACACGGACCACTTTCTCGGCAAATTATACCCTATTCTAGACCTAAACTGTCTGATTTCTATACCCTATCCCAGACTAAACTGCCTGAGAACAATACCCTTCACAGCGGCATTCACCTATATAACTTAAGTATGGGAATACCTCGCCCCAGGGGGTCTTGTGCGCCAACGTATGCCTACAGAATAGCCTTCACAGCGGCACATACCCAGATAGCTTACATGTGGAAATATCTTCTCCGGGCGGTCGGTCCTGTGTACCAATGTATGCCCACTGATAGTGCACTGGAAACAACTAACAGAGTAACAATCAGCTTCCCGGTAACTCTGGTTAATCTATGCCAAGCTCTCCAACAGTGCTGCTGGCTCATTCGTGGTCTCGAAATAGTTTATGCAATTTTAAAAGTACAGACTATGGGAAATAATGGAGATAATTAAAAAAAAACAACCATAAACCATGTCGTGTTTTTGTTTCAGTTTGACTTGACTTAGATTTTAAACACAATAACGATACACTATATGCACACTCTCTCTTTTTTATATCGATATATTTTACAAGAATAAACAAAGGAAAAACAGTTTTATGAGAATATGGAGGCTGAAAATTGCGAAATTTTAAGAATATTTTTAAGAATAAACCCGAGGCTGAGATTTTGAAAAGAATATAATTTTGCGTGTTGAACATTTGTAAATACAATACAGTTATAAGTTTTTAACTGAGGCGTATAAAATCTAAAAGTATTCACAAAAATATTTTCAGCCTAAAATCGGCAGAAAAATAAGAATATTCAGTTTCGACCGGAAAAACAATATTCTAGCAAAAAAAAACACAGTTTAAAAGTTTGCTTTATATTGCTGGGTCCTACTATTAGGCCGCATACTATAAAGCGTTACACCATGCATAAGGTAGTAAACTCGTGATTAGCACAAAGGAAGGCTAGTTCAGAAATAAGCTTTAATCTCGTGATTACGAGTCAGGTGCGGCGCCATTATATTTCAAAGGTTACGAATTGTTGATTTCGATGTACATCGCAGGGTCCTAGCTAAAGAAGCTGAAATAATCTTCAAGTTTTAATACCAAGAGCGACTGCAAGGTTTACATAACACGTTTCTCTACGAAATTATCAACAGAAAAGAAAAACGAGATTCAAAAGGCCAGAAAGGTTAGTGAGAACAAACCGAGTTTTAACAGATAACAAAATTACATAATATTCGCCAGGCTTTTCCAGACCTTTCCATAGGTCGTCCAGAGTTCGGGACAGAATAATTCAACATTTATATAAGCTATTTCAACCGTTCCTCGGTTTTATTTGTACGGGATATTCTGCATGTTAGACATGAATGAAATATAGCTATTGAACCGTTTCTGAATTTGTGTGATAGCCTAATTTGCATAATGAGTTTGATATACGCAGAAGAACGAAACATCGGAAAGGGCAGTGAGAAAGGAAGATAAAAAACACAAGGTATCTTTACCTTTCTATGCTTTCTAACCTTTGCTTAATAGAATTTCATTGAAGTTTATTACAGCCGCCGGGAGTGGACTTTAGAAATAAACGCTAGTAAAGACAGCGTAATTCAACAGTCTTACTTTCATAGGTTTACAGAAAGTGATCTGTCAGGTGTTAACAGATTTTCACGAATCTCTAAATCAAATTACATCGAAAGTTATATGCATTTCTAACCTTTAGGAAATTTGCGCCCAAAAATATTCCCACGTACAGACTTTTTCAAAACTTACCATACGGTAAGGCAAAGATCAACGTTTGCCAAAGAAGAAAAAAATGGGGGTGACCGTACTCGTTTTCAAAATAAGACACATTATACACCAGGGGTTTTTAGAAGCTTTAGTTGTTTTAAGACGATCTGACAGGGACACCCAACGGATCATTTCGGTAAATTATCTGTTCAGAAGGCTTTTTAATCCCCTCTGATTTTCTTAAGAGAATTGTCACCTCGAACTTTCGTGATATGAGAAATTTAATGTCTGTTGTTTCCGGATTGTTAAAAAGGTCGTTTTGGGTACCGAAAAAAGGTTAGCTATCATTTTCGGAAAGGCGATAAGACCTAAGGTTTTCGGGAAATGGACAAAAAATCCCTAATAAATTCGAGAATACTCAGGTTCCCCTAGAATAACCGAACAGATAAAAAAATTTTAACGCAACCTAAAATTAACCTACAGAGCTTTAAAAGTACTCCAGACAGCCTAAAACAGCGTTTAAAAGCATTCGAGAGAAAACGGTCGTTGGGTGCCCCTGGATCTAAAGCAAAACTATTTTCCGACCTGGGTTGCAGCGGACCACTTTTAAGGAGACTGCCATGCACTTAGTTGGATTCTCTTTCATAACTGTCTTCTCTCTTCTTCTGCCCATGAACAGCCAACTAGCCGGTCAACATTCTCGTCCCCGGAGGCCGCGCTCCTTTTGGTCAGCACCAAGAATCGTGACCTCTGGGCTGCTCCAACACCGGAAGTCCGCAATTCACGGACCTCCCGTGAAATCTGACAAATCTGATTGGCTGTGAATACGAGCCGAATGCTCTGCGCATGCTCAGAAAATCGGGTTTGGCCAGAGTGCCGACCTAAAGGAGCGCAGCCTCTGGGGACGAGAGTGGCCGGCCAAAAAAAGAAACCACCCATTTACTACGTTTTCCACGTTCTTTCAGATTGAACTGTTGTGCAGGCCAAACCAGACCAACAATTGAACGTCGATGGCAATTCCTTGGAAGCTCTACCTGACATGCTGGTTTCTTGGTGCCTCCGTACAAAGCGCCACGTTTTTCAGTTACAACGCCGTTGATTATTTCAACTACTTTTTCCCTGACAACTACAAGCCCGAGGTGTACGTTGGTGTCACGGTCGGAGTTGCGGCGAGTGTTGGAGCGTTGCTGATGGTCACCTTCCCACCCAAATCGAGTCATTTAACTGTACTACTCTTCACACTGACTGCCTCGGTAATTTTGCTGGTCGCAGTGGTAGTCATTACACCTCTTGACACCGGCATCTTATCCACACCAGCTCGGTTTGGTTTGGTGTTAGCCGTAATCTTCGTTGCGACCGTCGTTCAAAATGTCGGCGGTGGAGCCCTTTACAGCTTCGCTGGAAAGCATTTTCCGAAGTTTGGAGTCCACGCAGCACAGTCTGGCGGTGTGTTCGCATTTGCAGCGACTTTCATCATTCGCTGTATCTCGAAGGGATCCTTTCAATATGTCGAAGACAAGGATAATGGTTTTCGCCTCAGCGGCTATTTGTTTGTAGCCTTAGTGGATCTGACAATTCTCGTAGCATGTTGTTTGATTTCCATTCTGCGAGCCCACGTCCCCCAATCAACGCACGCTAAACGTTTTAATGTCACTGATAGGGAAAGCTTAGAAGACGCCGAGGACAACGAGAACCAACCGTTACTGACAAGTGACGAATTCGGCAACGTCTCTCGTAGGGAGATCATCAGGAATAACTGGGCTGCACTCACAGCAATCTCAGTGGCATTGGCCATCGCCTGTGCCTTGTTTCCGGGCATTGCTTCGCAGTTTCACGGAAATTACAACTGCACTTTCGTCACTAACCATCTCTCCAACTCGTCTAATATTTTTAACACTTCCACTGTGGTTTCTTCGACTAGAGGCTCGCAGTCTAGCGACAAGACAGGCTGGTTCATCGTCATCGTCTTCGGCTGTTACTCGGTAGCAACTGCAGTTGGGAAAACCTTACCGATCTTCGGGATCCTCTACAACAAGAAAACGATTCTCTGCAATTGCCTAGTGCAGCTGGTTACAGCCGTTCCGATTCTACTTATCTACTTCGAGCCTTGTGCGGTTAGCGGACTGCAAGCTGATTGGGTAGCCTATCTTACTGTTGGTCTGTTCGGATTTGTCACTGGCTACGGAATATGTGCCGCCCTGATGCTTCTGGCCCCAGGGCAGCGGGGTAAGAGTCACGAGGAGGGCCTGGCGACTAGTATCGGTTACATGTTTCTACAGCTGGGACGCCTACTTGGGATGGGTGTTTCGTTGTTTCTCGTGGACTTCGTGTTTGAAGCAATTAAGCCCTAAAGGACAGCAAACCAGCTGAGAATACAAGTTCAATTACCTCTTATATTTATTTAGCTGTGGGCTAACTGGTTTCAGTTGAAAAGTTTTATTGTTTGTTCTTAAGATCTGTTTGACAATAGCCGAATTTATCGGTTCCAAACTGATGAATAAATCATTTGATCTGTTTTATGGTTTGTTTTATCTGTCCAAGAATAGGTTAAGAATAGTTATTATATTTAGAGGACTTTGTTACGGTGCGACTTCTCGAACCGGGCCACCGATAAGAAAACTAAGCAATCAGAACTCAAACTGAGAACAATGGACTGGTAGCGTCTGGTAAATATAACGACAAACAACGATCTGTTTGACGTGAAAAAATAAACACTATCAGCTCCTCTGCGTTGTATACACTCTTAGGGCCTGATTACGTGGCGAATTTCAGCCCGGGCTGGAATTTCAGCCTGGTTAGCCGGACTGAAATTTCAGCCCGGCTTCTGAAACAAATTCTCATGAAATCAAATTAGCAATTACATGAAGAAGGATTCA